GTGGGGAGCAACACCTGCTGGAAATCGGGTCCAGCGTCCTAGTACACATCGATTTCTGTGTTTACATGATTATGCAGCACCCGAACTAGGTACTCCTTCCGTGTAATCTGTCTCCAAGTGCGTTTATGTGTCCGTAGAGGCCATTGGTACGGTGCTGGAGCTTGGGTCCAGTGTCCCTTTGGAACAGTACTCCTGAAATAGCTGTGTAATGAGTTGTGTTCTGTGCCCAGGCTGGCTATCTATTCTGTGTCATTTGTCTCCATATGTTCGTAAGAAGTAAAATTACGACGTGAAATCATTACCGCCAGCGGTTTCAGTGTTCTGTGTATCAAACCACGGTTAGAAGGCCTGTACCGTTCTGTGATCACTCGGCAGCCTGATTGTGACCCACCTGGTTTTGCCCTCGAGGCCTAGAGCCCTAAATATTAAGACCCTTTAATCCTGCTCTGGCTGCCGTCCGAGCTGCTGTTGTCTTAATCTATTGTGTTTTGTGTCCATTGTTCGGTAATGTGGTAGCGTGAGGCGCCGGCCCCGACCGGCCCTCTGTGCCCACCCTCCCTGAATCCCGTGCCACATTACCTTCTGATCGTTATCCCAGTGTCACAGTGTGTCACTATGTCGTGCTGTCTGCGCTACTAACCTAATCCCTTGTGGGGTGCTATGAGGCAGCTGTGGCCGCCTCCTTGTGCCCACTCCCCCAACAACCCATCTGATTCCCACAGGTCCTGGCTCTGTCGTAATCCTTTGTTACTTTGTTCCACTATGTACATGTCACGCCCCTTTTTGTCCAGGTGTCCTGCGACTGAAGAAGCTGTGGCCCTGGTCTTCATGCCCCATGCCCCTTCATTACGCAGAATATGTTCCCCTTTGCGGTTTCTCTGTCGATGATGTCATATTTGATGTCTAGTGCCCCTTGAGAGGGGGGGGGTCCTTGCTTGGCCGGCAATCAGCATCAGGGCTGTCTCTTATACACATCTAGATGTGTATAAGAGACAGGTTCATACCTGAGTGCTGTTGCCTGGGCGACATCTTCCCTCTTTCGAATGGTGGAATTAGCTCTCCAACTACTGTGATCTGTATGTGCGAAGTTGCTTAGCGGTGAATGAAATAGTTCTGTCTCGACATTGTTATCTGTAGATGGACAAGTGAAGGATGTCTTGTTTTCTGAAGGATGTATGATGGGTAATCTGTTGATTAATTGGCAAATGACATTAATCTGTTGATTGAGTGGCAAATGACATTAATCTGTTGATTGATTGGCAAATGACATTAATCTGTTGATTGATTGGCAAATGGCATTAATCTGTGGATTGATTGGCTAACGGATATCGATAACCTGTTGATTGATTGGCAAACGGATATCGATAATATGTTGATTGATTGGGAAACGGATATCGATAATCTCTTGATTGATCGGCTAATGGCTATGGATAACCTGTTGATTGAGTTGCAAACGAATGTCAATCACATGTTGATTCATTGGAAGTCGGATATCGATAAGCTGCTGATTGACTGGCAAATGATATTAATCTGTTGATTCGCAAGTGGCTATCGATAATCTGTTGATTGATTGACAAATGGGTATTCGATAATCTGTTGATTGATTGGCAAATGGCTATCGACAATCCATTGATTGATTGATTGGCAAACAGATGTCAATAATCTGTTGGTTGGTTGATTGATTGGCGAACGGATAATTTGTTGGTAGCTGTATGATTTGTTCGCAGAAGGATACTGCTGGTCATCTGTTGATTGATTGGCAAATCGATGATCTGTTGATCGATTGGCAAATCGACGATCTGTTGATTGATTGGCATTCTTTTCTTTTTTCCTTTTTCTTCCTGGATTGCAGAAGGATGTGGTAGATATGATCTGGGAGGTGGATGAAGATTGCGACAAGGCAGTCAATTGGCACGAGTTTCAACAAATGTACCATCGATGCCGCCATGACAAGACAGGTTGGTAATTAACGTAATGGTCGCCAGTTCAAACTTCAAATCCTCCAACATTACCCATCTGCGTCTATCTATGAATCGTGAAAGGATTTCACCTTCCTAAGTCTACTATGATTCGATCCCGGGACCTGCCGCTGTTGTTGTTGTTTGTTCTACTATGTTGTATGCCTCGGCGATGCTGTTGGAGTTTGAACCCGGGACCTGGTGTTGACTTACCTGTGCCCTCACCTGTTGCTATACCCTGCAGTAAGCGTTTGACTTTGCTTGTGGAGCCTTGAACCTGAGACTTGCTCTCATGTGTACGTATCGTCAATGCTGAGTACCACTTGTGCAATAATTGCGAGTCCAGGAAGCTATCTCGAGGGTTCTAAGGGCAAACGGGGGAAACTGCCAGGGAAACAAAACTACAGAATTTGTTTTTGCAGCCCCATTCATTCGGTGCGGTGCTGGTTCGTGAGATCAAGCAGTGCACTGTGTGGTGAAGAAGACAGCCATAGCTGAAGTCGCAGGGCAATCGTGTTGCCTGCCATCTGGTAGCTGTTGTTTTCTGTCTCTTTTTGGAGTGGAATCGTGCTGTTGTGTTGGGCGCTCGTAGGAGAGAGCTTTTGCTTCGTGGAGAGTGAGCCATCGAGTAGGAGCATCACTTCAAGTTTGTTCAGGGAGAGATCCTTGGCGAGAGCAAGAGGAGAGGGGAGGAGAGGAGACATGCTTGGGTAGTAGAGTCTGCCATACAGGAAGATTACATTCAACTCAGGTGGCATCTTGTACCAACGAGTGGCAGGGTCTGTGTTGCGGGAAGTTTATACATTGAAGTTTCGAGGGAGAGATCTTGACCTGCTATTTCGAAGTTAAAAGTGTATGGCGTATTTGTGGGCCCGACCCACCATAGCTGCAACCCCTATTATACCTTCAAGTTGTGTGTGTGCGGTTTCTAGTGACTGTAATTTCGTTGAGCTGTGTGGGGATTCTGAGGAAGAAGGCAAACTTGGTTTTCCTGCATGTGGTGTGATTGCCATATCTGCACGCTCGCATGGGTATGGAGGATGCATGAGCGAGAGTCTCCTTGCAATCGTGTGTATATGTGGGTAATCTCTTCGCGTGGGTTAAAAAAAAGAAAAAAGAAAAAAGAAAAAAGAAAAAAAAAAGAAGAAAAAGATGTGGGGTAATCTCTCTGTGTATTTGCTGTCATCGCATGCCAGGCACGCAGAACGTCGAACGCAAAAGCAGCAGATCTTCCTCCAGAGGCCAGGTTTACAATTTACAACCACTTAGGGTGGTGAAACTAACCCCCCCCCCCCCCCCCCCCCCCCCCCCACCCCATTCTTGCCCCTCCTCTCCTACAGACCTGTTGATAATTCCCCCTGCTAATCATCAAATC